TTTTCTGAGAGTTGTGTCATTTTCCACAGTTTTCTCACAGTGAAAATACCGGGAACTGTCCCTAATAGAATGAAATGAGATGGTTACATAAAAGCAGTGTTATGAAATATTTTCACCATAAATGTTATAACTATAAACTTTCTGTCATGTTAGTTTTATAAAAACTAGTAGTACTACCTAGTTGTCCAAACTCTAAGTATGTGAAGAATCTTTCGAATCTTCAACCTGGTGGCCAAAAGTCAAATGCTTTGACTGTCGGAAAATTCGAATAAAATTGCCTGGAGTTGGTGTTATTCAATTAACGATGTTCGAAATTTCAAATGACGCAATAAAACTTATTTATAGTCACCACTACAAAAAATTATGGTAAATACTTATGCAATTTTCATCATAGTCATGCAAATTCTGTTGTTATTTCTTTATTCAGAAATTGTTTTATTAACCACTAGACTCCTAACGATGCTGTTATATGGAATGAATATGCACATCTTCTGGTTGATGAACTTCCTCAAATGACTTATACTACATATCAACGTGTAAGTTAGATTGATTTTCTAGAACATTTACCCTTGTTTAATATGATGATATACATTTTTTAGGCTGACTATCGAAATTTGAATTTCCACCCAAATTTTACAAACTGTCACTCGTTTGGTAATAATGTAAGACACTTTTTTTAGATCGTTGCTTACTTTTGAGTCAAATCATTTGTCTTTGCGAAATTAAAGGTGTTGATTATGAACAACACAAATGGATGGTAGATACTGTATTAGGAATTAATTCGTATGATTTTTGTTACAACACACTAAAGAATGTAGTAATACTACTTCATAACAAAGGCTTAGTTATAGTGAAGTTGGACTGTGGCTAATGATAAAACTCATGATATCTTTTTCTTCCTATTTGGGACTTATCAGCTGGAATATACATGAATCTATTAATGTTCACACAGATTTCAATCTTTTACTTTGCGTTTCAAATTCCAACTACCTAGTCTGTATGGGATGAAACCCTCATCTTGAATACCACTGGTGTCCACAGTCCAACTTCACTTTAACTTGTACTTAAAGACAATTCACTCACAATGCACATATGCCAATAGAGTCCAATCGTTAGTATCATCGACAGAAAATCCCAAAATCATACATAGTTAGTTTAAAATTATAGAGAATCATTGTTTTTATTTACCCAAACTTTTAAAAATTCTCAGTGACTGAAATCTTTCTGCCATAGATGAATGATCACAGTGACTACCTAGACCTTTAGTGATTTTTATTTTTGATTCTTATGAGTTATCAGTATTTTCTCTTATTTCTAGGATTCTAGAATAAAGCAAAATATGACATTATCAATGAAGTATTTCAAGTAAACATATGCTGATACGATATTAAGTTTAACTGACCACTCATGTTGTAAGACGACTAAAGTAATAATGAACTTTTACATTGTAATTAGATTTTCTTTTTTTAATGCATTACTAGGCTGTCCACTGTCTTCAAGCAGCTCATCGTTGTCGTATACAACCGAGTGAAGGACCATGGGAACAGTCAACAAAGAAATGTGAAGCTATTATTGATGGTTTAAAAGCTTTACTTGATTTATTAAATAATCCTCCGAAATCGAAAAATGATAACGAATCTAACGAAGAAGATCAACTTAATACCTTCATTCAATCAACCTTGGCCACTCTTCGAATAAGCCTAAAATCTGTAATTTCTAAATTGAAGGTAAGCTTTTTTTCAGCCTATATTACATAATACAGTCTGTAGTATTGACTTATTGCCTACCGGTGTCTTATAAATTGCGAATTAATTTTATTCATACAGCTTTAATATGTATATGTACATAATAAGTATTTACTTCTTTCCATAATATTCCACAAGTTTTTAAGCCTTCACTTTCATGAACTCCTAGTTCATCTGCGAATTGCTCTTAGTCATACTTTATGCCATTCATTCTCTTACTTCAATTAGAATTTAAAAAAATACCTCCGGACCTCATTAACAGTACAGCTTTTAGAATAGTAACATTTGTTTGTGGTTATTTCGTTACATTTCTATTTCTGCTAATGTCAATTTTAATTGTGGTTTGTAAATTCATCTCTATAAATTGAATCTTTACAGTTTATTGCTTTAATGATTTCTAGATTGCTGAAGAATCTATTCTTTCCACCGATGTTCAAGATATGATTCGTTCCTCACTTAAAGATTTAAATGAATTGTTAATTGATGTTGAAAAAAAATTAAACTAAACTCTTACATTGTATATGCTTTTTTATCGACTATCGTAATATGAATAAAAGTTTGAATTAAACTCTGATTCTTTTGATTTACTAAGTTCTATGTGTATATGACTTCATAATTGCGTGAGTTTGTACATGTAGTTCTGTTGTTTGCAATGTCTGTCTAGAATTATAAATTCCCTTAATATCCTGTGGTTTCATTTATATTGTTTCTGTTAGCCTCGTGATAGTTTAGAAACGACATTAGATTTTCTTGCTGATACACTAAATGTTATATGTCATATTAGCTGTATTGTTACTTACTTTTTTGAAGTTGTAAGCTGACACTATGAGTATATCTTTGCGTATTACTTGTTGTTTGATAATTATAGTGTATTAGGGATGCAGAAAGGAATCTATGAAAAATAGTTTTCAGCGTACACTTAACAAATACATCCGTTAAATTTGTTTAATATTGAACAACTTTTCTCAGCAGATTAAAATTACTTTGTGGATAAACTGTATTGATTGTCTAAATAATGACTTCGATATTGCAGGGCGACACAATCTAATCACTGACTTCAATTGTTCAGTGCAAGTGGACGAGTAACAGACTACATAATATTGTGGTTTAAGCGCGTTATTCTTCAAGAACCTTAAAGTGTTTGAATTTATTGTGTAACAATGTACACAAAGACTTGTCGAAATTGAAACTAAAGTGCCTTCCCTTATTTACCAAGTTTGAAATTCATTGTCTAGAGACTTTACATGAGACTATTGGTTGTAAAACTTGATAACTCATGTTTATAAACGTAATTAAATATCCTTTGTTGACCTAGAACGTCTATGCATGTACTCCTATATTGTGCAATATCATATCTTGATTATATCTGGAATGATATTGAGATGAAATTCAGGACGAATGTTTCTTTTTCGATTCTAGTCTGGATAATAACAACACGATATTCATACCTATAGCTCTATTCAGTACTATATGCTTAATACAATATCGAATTCCTAACGTACAATATCTCAATTATTTCCCTTTATTATTCATAGACTTCCCAAAATATATGTATATACATGGTTAAAATAAGGAAAATGCAGTACATATGTTGTGAGAACTGATCAATCTTAACAATTTTTTCGTCGCTTAGTTTATGTTCTATACTGTAGAGCTCTTAAACTCTTCTTTGTGTGTATAGATTTTAATGTACTAGTGTCTCGTTTTGCGAGAAAGGGTGAGGCCCCCTAAGAAAACCACCTGCTTCGGTCTGGGTACCCGGACAGTATCACAACCCTCACACATATCAAATGAGATTTGTGTGGCGCATATGTATTTGATGCCTCCTTGTACCAATATCTATGTGTTAAAATAAAAATAATACGGCGGAAAACATAGGAATTGAGAGTGAATGCTTCGTGTCTGATAGGATGTTACTTGCAGTTCTTTACAGGGTTTCAAATATTTATTGACAACTGTATTCATAACAACCTCAGAAGATTCACCATGTATTCCACGATCAACCTACATCGCACCATAATCTTTTCTCAGAAATCTAGCAAAGAATAATGAGGAACGGTATAGATTATTTGATAATACACAGTAATTTACAAATCGCCAAAGTATTGAGTAATCCCAAAACCATCTAGCCTATTGTGATAAGTTAGGTTAAGAACTTATGTCAATGTTAACGAAGCACAGGAAGGCCAAGAGATATCTGAAATAAAACCTATGAAATGCTACAGTTTTTACCATATAATTTCGAGTAGTACAAATACTATGTTATTATAGTAGGATATGTATATCCTTTTCATTACTTGGTCTGAAGTTAACAGCTTGATATTTAGAAAGATTAAATGTAAGACTTCAAAACAGACCGTATTTCAGGATTGGCTGATAGCTCATTGATTTTTAGGGAATTCGAGGAGGAAGAAATTCCCATTCATAGACTAGATTTGTTTGCATTTTTAATAAAATGGTTTTTCTAGAAAATGAGAGGTCCAAGGAAAGTGAAATTAAAGCTCCTTGAGATATCCCAACTTTTTTAACAATGCTATGGAACATTTTTCTTCACACACATTTCATTATTCTTTTAGTTATCACGCTCTCTGTTTCGGGTATCGAAAGTAATTATCACCTTTTTTAAACTAAGTACTATTTTATGAATCACAACAACTGCTGAATTCAAGGAGCTCCTTGCAAAATCAAGTAAGTTTAGTCAAGTCTCAAATAGTACAAAATTTATATTCCAAATTTCAATTTCATTCATTATCAAATGTTGTAAACCATATTCATTGTTGAATAAAACTAGCTTAAGGGCTTCAACGTTTGACTCTAGATACTTGATTTGATCCTCACATTCTAATTCGATCCACCATATAAATATACAACTGACGAATGTTGTGTGTATTCTCTTTTATTTATACTTGTACATTTTGTCTTTTGAAATCATTTACTCTGAGTAATTAACCCAATTGTTATTTTTATAAATTCTGGTTAAATTTATACTGTAAGTATTTCATTAATAAACTTCGATTCCTTTATTTTTCCGTGTTTATTAGATCAATAGTTTCACATTAGTCCTAAAAGATACTTCTAAAATTGTGAAACTAGAACTTTTACAGTAATAAAGAAATTCGAGTTTCTTTTATATCTAAGTTCAAATAGTTGCCCTAAAATTATCTTAGTTTGTAAAGCTGAATAGTCATTTTTCTGAATTGGTTAAAATTAACTATGTGTTTCAGTCGAATGTTTTCTGCTTACTTTAAATTTTTAGAGGATCGTCACTATATTTAAAAAGAGATGCAGCTGTCTAGTTACCGATTTTTCCATCTATTCCATAAATTGCGTAACCATTACAAATTTAATGAGATTTCTTGTGTGTATTTGAATCATCACAATTATTGTCAACAATCTAAATCCTTCCAACCTCATTTTAATCTGAATTTATTTAACGATGAAAAGTTCATTGAAAATCTACGTGCAAATTTAACAGCTCGTAAAAGTAACTTAAATCTTGATCATATGGTAAGATTTTCGTTACAATATTGTCTTATGTATACATTAACCATATACTTATATTCATGTATATACAATTTTTAAGCCAAAAGAATAACAGAATTCAAAATATATTTAATTGTTCTAATATCATGTACAGTTCTAATTTCACATACATTAAAACTAAATATTGAAATTCATTTATAAATAATACTTCAATGAAAGAATCGTTGATTATTGAATAGCTCTTAATTGATTATCACTTAAAACGGATGTGATCAAAAAGACAACTGTTTAAGTATCTATCTCTTAACTTCTAAATGAATATATATTGATCTTATCCTTGTTATAAATGGTAAGTTGTACTATCTGAGTTGAATATTTTGTACCTAAATATTTAGTATTATAAGCAAAGATGGTTGGTGGCTAACAATGTAATCCAGAACGTGCGTTCGGTCCTATTTAGGACCCTTCAGCTGGACATACCTGGATCCCAGTGTTGATGTCTTGGAGTGAACATAGAAGCAATCCACACAGGATGCATATATGACAATAAGCGAGTGATCAATTGCAGTCCTAAACATCAATCGGAATATTCAAGCAGCCAACATAAAATGAATTTAAATAGTTGGTAGTTCTATGTTTCTAACCATTGTTTGAGCCGTCGGTTTAGTAAATGAATTGTCATTTCGCCATTTTATTTATTCAAGCTCATGACTAGTCATTGATATTTAACATTAAAGAGGAAGAATGTATTTGTAAAATTTCAGCTAATGAATTTGAAGTAAATCCAACGTTTCGCCTGGTAATCTGGTCCAAGCTTTTTCAATGAAATATAATTATCGAATATAAATAGGTACATGGTTCTCCGGTTCACTGAATAGGTCATCCAATCAACATTAACAATGTTCGAAGTAGGTATTTGCATTAGTGTGTAAGAGACATGTGATGTGATTCGAAAAGGGCTAAGATAATATAATGTGTATACGTGAATGGTGTGAGAAGCAATTTCTTCGGTTGGTGAATTTTAAGAAAACATTATTTTTATATATAATATGAATCAAAAATGCCACAGAATGCACAAATTGCAGATGAATAAACAAGATGAAGGAATGAATTCAAGGAGGTAGAATGTATTTGTAACTGAATGTTTGTGTTATTTTGATGTCCCAGTTAATTGTTTAACATACTCAGATAGGACAACTGATTGAACCGTTAAATATAATTGCTGTTATTCAGATAATAAGAGATAGATAAAATGGAATAGAGAGTTCATGTTTACTTATTAATTATTAGTAACGCAGTTGTTCGGAAACGGGTACTAGGTAAGGATGGCAAATCAATTGATGAAGTGGTGAAACTTCATCAGTTGAGATGGCTGGGACACATGTTACGTATGCCCAACGACCGACTGCCTTGACGTGCTATGTTTTACGGTGTAGGAGTAGGTTAGAAGAAAGCTAGGGGCGGCCAGACCAAAACATGGCACAAGTCCGTGAAGTCACTGACAAGTGAACTGAGCCATATTGGTAGGTGTAGACTACCTGGTTGGGGACCGCGAGATGATAGCAACCGATGACTGGTGACCCTGAATGATATGGCTCAAAATCGTTTGCAATGGCTCAGGTGCATCCACTCTTTGTGCTCTCTCAAATTCTAATCTTCTGGATTCTTCATGTCCCTTATTTTCTCTCCAAATTTATTTCACTGTATTATACTCCTTGAATAACATCTTCAAACCCTAATCTTTCTGATTACTGCTTGTGCTCTTACTACCCCTACCACTACGCGATTGAAATCGACAATTGTATTTGTGTGCTAATGCGATATGGCAACTCGAACTGATGTACTTACGTACGAAGTTCTACGTTATTACTGACTGACTATTAACTGTTTGTTGCCATAGGATAGCTAATTGTATTCCATCTCTCATACTGGATTTGCCCATATGTGTAGGGCTTCGGCTGTTAGTCTCTCTTTGTAAGAATTAAAGCCTTTTTGAAGGGTTCTTATGCCATTGAAATAAATTGTATGACTCGATTCTATAGTGTAATGCTATCGCTGATTTGTTCTCGGGTTTCCTTACCCTAACTGAAGATTTAGGAATGTGCTTTAAGCATAGTTTGTGTTCCTTCATTCTCACATTCAGTTGCCTTGATGTTCCACCTATATATGTGGCATTACAGTCACTATATTTGATTTCATAAACACAATTCTGTTGTTTCTCCTTATGTATTGGATCTTTGATTCTTACTAGTTTTGATTTTAGTGTATTGTTTGTTCGAAAGAAGACTCTTATATTTTGAAGAGTTAGGATCCTTCTGATCTCTTTTGAAATGCCTTTACGATATGGGATCATCACTTTGTTAACCCATTCTTTTTGGTTAACTCTTTTTTCAATAATATCGTTTTGTTCTTCATTCTCAATTATTCTTTTCATAAAATCCTTCGGATAATTATTCATCGTTAAAGTGGATATAATTAAATTCATTTCCATTTCTATATCATTTGGTTCAGTGACAAGTTTTTAAATTCTGGTGATCAAATTTTTGGCCACTGTGTGATATGACGAGAAGAAAAGTCAAAATTAAATTGATTTACTCATTATTAGTTTTGTTCAAGAATACTTCCATTTTGATTCAATGTAATGATCATTCAGTGAAGTATTTGTTTTCTTTTGTCGTATGATATTTTAGTCTGTATAATATGCGATATTCTTGTATTCCATTGACATAAACTATGCTCAGTATGTAATTTGTTATAACTCTAAGTATTTTTTATATATGTGATTTCATCCTAATTATTAATCACAATGGGTGTACAATCAATATTTAAGTGAGTTTATTTTCGACTAGAATCGTCGTCGTGGGAATTGCAGAGGTCCCTCGTTTCGAGTGTAAGTGATAAGCGTCTCTGTCACAACAATCAGCGACGAACAGATATAACAAGTAGCATTCAATTGACAAGTTATAACACTGTGAAACTATTCGATCAAATTTAGACAAACGTTCTTTTGTTGATATTTAACGTTATTAAATAACTAGTTAGGTGAAGTTACTGAATGTCTTTTCATCCATAGACCTCTATAGGCAACAACTTTTATTCGATAGATGTTTTATCAGACTTGAGAAACTTAGGTCTTTTTTGTTTTATATACTCTAATTGTAGACAGTATCTATTTACATTAATTCAAGTTTAAGGAATCTGTCAATCATAAACGTATCATGGAATTCTTAACCTAAGTAAATCCATTTCATTATGTCAATGTAAATCCATAAATTGATCTTTGGATTAAAGAATTGTTGCATCTCATCAAATAAATTAGTTTTATGTTCGTATTACCTAATAAACTAGTTATTTGCTTAAATCCCCTCTTTGTTATTTAGGTTCCTTTACTGAATTTGCTTTCTTTGTGAGTATGATGTAATGCAGTAGTCCATTTAAGAATTCAATAAACAAAACAAGTGTGACTATTATCACATTCAGACTAAACAGCTCACTAATAACAACCTTAAACTTTGGTTTCAAACAACGCTAAGTCAAATTCTAAAATATCCTTTATTTGAAGGTCTTATATATTTATAGTAAATTGTCTTGTATGGAAATATGTTTTTTAAACTTTATTTGTTTTAATGTTCACTCCATTTTCCTTTCAGCTGGATCTTTACAGAAATTACACTAAAACAAAACATAAGGAAACACATGATGAACTAATGTCATTAGTATGTGAATTACCAAATTTTACTCATCCACTTACTGTAAGTGCTATTAAATATTCAGGGTGTAATATCACTATAAATGACGGTTACTATTTGATCTTTCTCGATACCATTTATCATTTTTTTCATTATAGCCGATTGGTGATTCGTTCAAAGCACGTCATATATATATTCATGGATCTAAACGTGAAGGTGGGTTAATGTATGTCCAAATTTTATTTGTTTACTTCAGAGGTTAGTGTGTTGTGTAGATAGTTCTACAATGATGAACTGATGTCCTTAGGGACACTTTTGTAAACGAGGAAATGTTTGGAAACTGTTTCTTTGTAGTTTGTCTCGGCATAGCAACATATATCTTCCACAGCCCTTCACGGGACTAAAATTGCAACGTTCAGATTTTAAGACAAGCTCGTTATTCTTATATCACTGGTTGTTGTTAGAAAACGTCAGTTCATTTGTTCTAATGAGATTGTTTATCTACTGATGTATATATATATATATATACAGGAAATGCACGTTCTTTTAAATCTTTTAGACAATATTCATTTCACATTGGTAATTTAATGATATAACTATGAATCTATTTTTGTTTCATTGTACGATTTAAAATTAGAGAGGTGGAAGCTTTTAGATGTAATCAATATAACTTCAGGTACACATCAACCTGTAATCAATCATCATAATATCAACTCTTCCATAACTATCAATCCTGAAGGTCATCTCCGTGTAAAAGATACAACTATAGGCGCTGGACACAAGACTTATTATTTTACTGGACCATTAGCACAATTAGAGTCTGCACTTGTCGCATATACCGTGGATCGTTTGAAAGCAACTGGTTTTGAATTTGTATCTGTACCCGATATTCTACCTGAACCTGTCATCAGAGCTTGTGGTTTTCAAACTCAAGGAATTCGTTCTCAAGTAAAACAATTCTTGCATTTAAAACAATTAGTCCCTTTGATAAATTTCGATAATGATATTAGAAGACGAAGATTATCAGAACTATGTGATATATTAGCGCAATACATTTCGAACAATCTGGTCACACATATACTTGTTAAGAGCATTTATATATAAAAATAAAAGATCCTTATCTCCTCTTACCCCGCTTCCTGTCTAGTTGACCTTTTATTTTTATATATAAATGCTCTTAACAAGTATATGTGTGACCAGATTGTTCGAAATGTATTGCGCTAATATATCACATAGTTCTGATAATCTTCGTCTTCTAATATCATTATCGAAATTCTTGCATTGTTTGTTAGTCTTCTGTTGTTATAAATATTTACTTAAATGTCTATTAGTATTATTGACAAGTCTAAAATTAAAATGATTCCCATCTATTCTAAACAGTATTTCAATTAATTGCTATAAACGTACATCAATCTGATTTTTTGTTATTATGACCAAAAGCCATACCAGTATGGTGACATAGTAGCATCTTGACTTTAGAGAGATGGCTTACAAAGTTTCGTTTCTGGAATGCTCCAGTTATATTGTTAACATTTAAAGTTCATTCTTATATATGACCTTATCATTAACCGGTTAGGAGTGTTATTTGAATGTTGACGAACTTAAGATTCCTATCTTACCGAATCAGTTTCTGCCGCCTTCTTTCCATTTGTCTTACCGCTTGGCAATGCCCGAAGGAATCATATTCATCGTTTGGCAACATCCGGCGCACGACTACTCCCAACATGTTTGGTACCGATTCAAACGGCCGTTGAATCTGGTGGGGGAGTATTGTGGGATCAGTGAATTGTCAATGAACTCTAGCCAAATCATTTGGCAGTTAGCTCATTGAGTATCAAACAGATCATCAATCCCTGTCGAGGCCGAGGGCAGCCAACGTACATCAGTTAATCGTACGCCATGAACTGGCCCATGCGATGTTGGTAACAATTTTGCTTGTACCTATTCCAACTAATATATTTCTGTAATAATGTCTTTTGCGTTTTACGGTCTTAGCAATAGTACCTTGATAAAACGTAGAGGTAAACGACGTTCGGTGCTGACCGCGAGGTGTGACTTCAAAGTTAGCCGTTGGCCGCATCATTTCCGTCTAAGTCGAGTAGGTTCCCAATCACTCGACAGAGATCACCGATGTTGATGATCCACAAATTTCTCACTGATTTGAATTCTGGTCCACCTGTGACTAACAAAATACAAACTGTGAAGGATTGGGAACCACTATTCGGTATATCAATTAGATTATTAGCACGTATCACACTTTGTTCTGGAAAAATGCATAATGTCGATTTGTCTATTGCTCAACATGAAAAGTTGATAGATTCTCCATTACTATCCGTTCGTGTTTGGATTATCTCATTCTGGTAGAAATTATTTCATTGCATTAACATTTGAGCACAAATACTTTGTTCTTTCACTGATAATAAGAAAAGTCGAGAATGTCAAGATAATGATTTATTCGATTGTCTGGGTAAAGATCAGGTTGAGAAATTATGCGCAGAATAATGGTGCAAAATAGGTTTCATTACATATTCCTCCATTACATCTCAAGCCCCTACAACATGGAGTTTTCTCTCCACATGGTTCACCAAAGTGTCGCCCGTGACATTGCCCACGGTCACATTTGTACTCATCTTCGCAATCGTCATCTTTCCCGCAATATTCACACACTCTCCTACATTTATCTGAAAACAAGCAACCAAAATATCACATCATTATGTGATCAAGAGCATTTCTGTTGAGCTAAACAACAACCAGTAAGTGAAAGCATGTTCTTTAATTACTAAGAAATATAAAAGTATGAATCACGCAGTCAAAATGCTGTAAGGCGATTTGAGATTACTTACATGGAGGGAAACGATATTTCTTACACTCTCTTTCAAGTGATTTGGTGGAGAGAGCTAGCAATAGAATGGCCGAGCACAAAAACAGTATATTCATGGTACTTTGTGTTCCATTGTTTTATGTCTCGGACCTTTTGTTTATATACCATTGAACAGACGACAAACCATTTATGAGAGTCACGTTCGTCAATTACTCGTCATCACATGGTTTTCCGGTAATCTGATAAAGTGTATATGCCTCGTGTTTCCAGCCATGTGCGAAGTCAGTACACATTTAATGAGATTAGTCAGCTTTGAAGATTAAGAAGAATTTCACAACTTAAAAAATTCAGAAGTAAAGACTTTAGTAGAACAGCATGAACTAGCCTTGTTAAATTAGGTGGTCGTCAGTTATTAACAACAAATGATATTTCAAAGAACAGAAGTGGCCCATTGAGCCACTGAAGGCGAATGAAGGATGATTAACTAGAGAGATATTTCTTTTGAACTCTGTCATTTAATTGGGCTGCATAGTTCTTAAAATGAAACCACAGGCGGAGTTGACCGTCAACGCAAACATGAATCAAGGTGAATATGCTTCGGAATGGTAGGGCAATGAAGAAACTATCACTTGCATTAATTTTAGTTTTCGTTATTATGACCAAAAGCCATACCAGTATGGTGACTTAGTAGCATCTTGACTTTAGAGAGATGGCTTACAAAGTTTCGTTTCTGGAATGCTCCAGTTATATTGTTAACATTTAAAGTTCATTCTTATATATGATCTTATCATTAACCGGTTAGGAGTGTTATTTGAATGTTGGCGAACTTAAGATTCCTATCTTACCGTAAACACCGTGTAGTTATCCAGCGACCCGAACCCTTCCAATGCCCTGATACGGCCGAGAGTGGGGAGAGTTCGCTCTCCCTCTCGAAATGCTCTCACATGGCCACGCGTATATAAGCTCTGCCAGGGAAGTCCTGATCACTGCCTTCTCGTGGCCGGGTTGATTTTTCACGAAATTGTGAGAGTGAAAAGCGAAACTCCCGCACTTTAACCGGTTTGGTGGACACGTGGGGTCCGCCTAGGGGAGTTGGGAAACCCTGATTCCAAACCAATGGTGCACATGGGCTCCAGTATCCTGAGAGAACAAATAGTGTATGAACCAATCGTTGGTCAGCGGCCACCATGAGACTGCATCTCCTGACGTTGCTCCACTGCCTTGTGGATCAGACCTTTAGGTTGAAGGCTCCAGGTGTAGCCCTCTAAGAAAACCACCTTCTTCGGTCTAGGAACCCGAGCAGTATCACAGTTCCCACACATATCGAATTATTGTGTGGAGTATATCTATTTGGTGTGTTTTTAGCAATTTTCATGTGTTGATGTAAATAAATAAATAAAAGAATTTTATTGCTGAATTTTCTACTAACCTAATACTTGTCATTTCTTTTTACTGCAGATTTATAAAATAACCCCACCTGTGTCTAAATTGACTTATTGTCTCTCTGGAACATCTGAAATGGCATTAGCTGGATTTTGTGCTGGTCGGTCTTTTAACTGTACTTCTAAAAATGACAAAGCAGATGAATCAAACCAATCCTCCGCTCTTGGATTATGTTCTGTAAGTCGGTGTTTTCGTAAAGAAGCTCCCAACCAAGAGCCAACGCTTTATCGAGTACACCAGTTTACTAAAGTATGTACGTTAACTGAAATTAATTCCTATTTCAAAAGTTTTTAAATCACAAGTAATATCGATTAATTTCCAATTCCATTTGTAAGTGTATACTGTCACTTGGGTCATTTCTTATGTATTAAACTATTTATATAGTATTTAGATGTTAACATCATTAAATAACCGCTTACATTTCATATCAACATGTTATTATAAAACATGTAGTCTAAAAGATGAATACTCTGTTGTATGTAAAACCTGACAACTACGTATTTCGTCATTTTAATGTTAATCCACGTTCTGGTAAATATTAGAAGGTATATTTAATCGCTGTTGATGAAGAACAAAATGCTTCTCACACTCAGGGAGTTGCTTTGATGCTGTCGAAGAAGCTCGAAATGCACTTACTGAATGGGGAACTCATGGATTCAGGATTATCAAAGCATCCTTTTCAAGAGAGATAGAGTGAATCACAATGAATGTTATCCAATGTTGTGCACCCACCAATGATAGCAACGACGACAACAAAGATCAGTTTTACGAGAGGCTGCAATCAATCATAGCGAAGTGCCCAAGAAAGGACCTCACCATTCTAATGGGAGATCTAAACGCCAAACTCGGAATGGACAACACCGGGTATGAAGATATCATGGAACGACATGGACTGGGAGAAAGAAACGAAAATGGGGAGAGATTTGCGAATTGATGTGCACTCAACAAATTGGTTACAGGCGACACAATATTCTCACGTCAACGTATACACAAAGCCACATGGGTCTAACCGGACCACACCACGGTGAACCAGAAAGGTCATATTTGCATCAGTAAAAATTCGCAAGGACAATGCAAGATGTGAGAATCAGGAAAGGAGCTGACATAGTTTCAGATCACCAACTGTTGGTGGTTAAGAGTAGACTGAAGCTAAAGAAGCACTGTATAACTGGTGGAACAGCATTACAAAGGTTCAATACAGCCCTCCTTCGAGATACTGACAAACTCAACACATTCGAGTTAGCTCTCAACAACAGATTCCAAGCCTTACAGGATCTACTGAAGGAAGAAAGTACTATGGAGGACAAGTAGAAAATTATCAAAGAAGCATTAACTTCAACATGTCAGGAGGTTTTAGGCCGCAAGAATCGTCATCATAAAGACTGAATCTCAATCGAAACCCTGGACAAGATTGAAGAAAGGAAGAACAAGCAAGAACAGCAATTAACAACAGGCGAACACGAGCAGAGAAAGTTAAAGCACAAGCTAAGTACACAGAAGCAAACAAGTAAGTGAAGAAGAGCATTAGAGCTGACAAGCAGAAATACGTGGAAGACCTAGCAGCGACAGCAGGAAAAGCTTCAACAGAAGGAAAAATGAGACGACTGTATGACACAGCGAAGAAACTGGTAGGGAAAATTAATAAACTAGAGAAACCGATCAAGGACAAACAAGGCGAGAAAATCACCGAGAATCGAGAACAGAGGACCAGACGGGTAGAATACATCGAAGAACTATTGAATAGACCAGCTCCATTGAATCCACCGGACATCGAAGCAACACACACAGACTTTCCTATAGATGTCACTCCATCAACGATCGAATAAATCAGGATGGCCGTCAGACAAACCGAGATTGGGAAAGAAGCGGGACCTGACAATATACCAGCTGAAGCACTGAAGTCAGACATCGAAGTAACTACAAGCATGCGTCACCTTCTACTCAAGAAGATTTGGGAGGAAGAACAAGTGCCGATGGACTGGAAAGAAGGACACCTCATCAAGATTCCAAAGAAAAACGGTCCGAGCAAATGTGAAAACTACAGAGGCATCACACTACTGTCAGTACCAGGAAATGTTTTCAACAGAGTGTTGATGAACTGGATGAAAGACTCACTAGACGCACAATTTCGAGATCAACAGTCTGGATTCCGTAAGGATCGGTGGTGCACAGACCAAATTGCGACACTACGGATCATCGTTGAACAATCAGTTGACTATGAGAAAGCATTCTACAGTATGTATAGGAGGACTTCATGGAAACTTTTTCGACACTATGGTGTATTTGAGAAAATCTTCAATATCATCAGGTATTCATACTACGGACTGACTACACTGCAAATACAACACAGAGAACACCAATCCAATCACACTTGATGGAGAAAATATGGAAGAGGTGGAAACTCTCACGTACCTGAACAACATCATCGATGAACAAGGAGAATCAGATACAGATGTGAAGACGAGGATTGGCAAGGCAAGGACAGCATTCCTACAGCTGAGCAATATATGGAACTCAAAACAACTGTCAACCAATATCAAAGTCAGAATTTCCAATACGAATGTCATGACACTCCTGCTGTAAGGAGCTGAAGCTTGCACATCTTCTACTACAGTGAACGAGAACAGCAATGTGGACAACCAAATGTATTTGAACAAAGAGATACAGAATGTTTGGTAAAAACTTTATTTGCAAAATATCCATCAATTGTCTCGGATGTTGTTGTTCCTTTGTTTCGGTGCCAATCACTCTCTGTTCTCGTTGTCTTCTATTTGATTTCATCAATCTTCTGCCGCCAGCCATTCCACTTTCGATTTGTGATAAATACTACTTCTATCTGTTGAAACACCACACTACAATCATCATCAAAAAGGTTCAAGTGTTTATAAACAATTGTCTACGCAAGATACGCAATGTCCGTTGGCCGGAAACCATAAGCAACAATCTGCTGTGGAGATAGCAAATCAAGTTCTAGCTGAGGATGAAATTAGGAAAAGACGCTGGAAGTGAATAGGATATACATTGAGGAAATCACCAAACTGCATCACGAGGCAAACCCCAACTTGGAATCCTGAAGGGGAGCGAAAAAGTGGAAGGCCGAAGAACACACTACGTCGGGAAATGGAAGCAGATATGAAAAGTATGAAAAGCAACTGGGAACGATTTCCCAGGACAGGGTTAGATTGAGAGTGCTGGTGAGCGACCTATGCTCCTCCGTGAGGGATGACAAGTGTAAGTAAGTAAGTAATACTTAATCATCAAGGACTTATTAATTTCATTACTGAAATTACGTGTTTTTGTTATTGAACAAAATAGTTTACTGCTTAAAAGCTAAAGGTTTTCTTCTGACCGGGCTATTTGATGGGGTATTTCATTTTCCTGCATATTTCAAACCCAACATGTCTAAAGTCTATCGAAACGTCAAGTAGCCGAACGTTTAATAATTACCATCATAACTTCTATCTGGTCGTATCGACAATACATAAACCCATCAACGACCATTACTACTGTCACTATGTTAACAATTCGTCACTGGAGTTTTTTGAACTGGTGATTAGTGGAAAACTTTATTCTAGCCTACTTGAATTATGGGGACATTTATAAGCAACTGAAAAGTAGACCTTGGTAATATTTCCTCGGGCATATGAATATTATTACTAATTGAACAATAATAATTTATAGATGCTCCGTTGGACTGCATTATATAGAAGAACTTGTTTGAACTGATAATCGATTGTACTAGACAAACCCTTTAGAAAACAAATAAAAGATACTTTCAGAACCTACAAACATTGTGAAAATACAATTGAAAGTAATTCATTTCTTCCTGTTATTTCTTCCCATTCATAGGTAGAAATGTTTGCCATTACTGCCCCCTCATTACCTGTCAGTGACGCAATGTTCAATCAAATTATCAAATTGCAAATATGTCTATTCGCTGATTTAGGTTTACATTTTAGGTAAATCATTTCTTATTATCAGTAAATTTCGAAAAAAATTATCACTTACTCATAATCGCAATCTATAGTTTGTTCTTGTAAATATTCTTCCTTTAAACGTTTCTGATACTACAAGACTCAGTAGTTTGAATTAAGTGTTATAACTTGTGGCCTCGTGCCCTATTGCTATATAACGTAATGATACTGTGAATTATCGATCGAACCGATGACACACAAGACCCGGACGGGCAGTCCAAAGTCTTTGTCGGTCCTTCTCCCAGCCTGTTGAGTCCAGAACACCAATCTCAGCCTCTGCGATATGAATCATTTATTTCAAACATACTGGGTTTATATACAAACCAAACAAACCACATCGTGCCACGAAATAGAAAATAACATTTGTACAGAATCTAGCCAAAGGTGGCTATGAATGTGAGAAACTGTAATTAATAGACTGAGCATAACTCGAGAACGGTAAATCATATAATAATAATTTATAGGTCAAAGTAAAGCTTGCAATTAGAGGAGTATAGATATACATGATCTAGCTACTGAATAGTTAGTTATACATTAAAAATATACGTATAATATTTTAACATATAGATATCGGTACAAAGGAGCACCGAATACATATGCGCTACACAATCTCATTTGATATGTGTGAGGGCTGTGATACTGCTCGGGTGCCTAGACCGAAGAAGGTGGTTTTCTTAGAGGGCTACACCTGGAGCCTTCAACCTAAAGGTCTGATCCACAAGGCAGTTGAGCAACGTCAGGAGATGCAGTCTCATGGTAGCCGCTGACCAACGATTGGTTCATACACTATTTGTTCTCTCAGGATACTGGAGCCCATGTGCACCATTGGTTTGGAATCAGGGTTTCCCAACTCCCCTAGGCGGACCCCACGTGTCCACCAAACCGGTTAAAGTGCGGGAGTTTCGCTTTTCACTCTCACAATTTCGTGAAAAATCAACCCGGCCACGAGAAAGCAGTGATCAGGACTTCCCTGGCAGAGCTTATATACGCGTGGCCATGTGAGAGCATTTCGAGAGGGAGAGCGAACTCTCCCCACTCTCGGCCGTACCAGGGCATTTGGGGGAATAGATGGATAGTGGCTAGCAATGGAATCTAGGACGCGCGTTTCATCCTATTTGGGACTCGTCAGATGGATATGCCTGCAGCCCAGAGTTGATGTTCACTCTGGGACTCGAATCCATTACCGCTCGCTTCAAACGCCATCGCGTTATGCACTTAGCTACTGAGTCCTCATTTGTCCATAAATAGTTCTCAAAAGTTACCATTCATAATTCTCGCCGGGATATAACATTAAGTTCTCAATCAACAGACCTAAGATTTCTCTAGTAATCCAAAAGATAACAGTTTACTAAATAATAAGCAGTTTGACTTCAATAGAGCTTTCTTAATTCTACCCTGCCCCATTAAATATGACTTTGTACTAAGCTAGATAATGGTGAAGCTGTACCACGTTGACTAACCAATCAGGTTTAATAAAGCACCTCTTTGATTTTTGTTCGAAATTCAAAACGTTTTGGTGTATACCTTGTATCTCAGTAAAAACTACCTGTGTTTAGTTCTTAAGGTGCTTAAGATTTGTAAACATATCTACTGTGCAGATGCGATACAGTATGCAAGCTAAATGAGAAGAAATACTTACTGCTGGTACCGATTGTATCTAAAACGCTAATTACTCGTTGAACGTCCTTCATGTAAATCATGGTATAGTATAGAATGTTTTCGTGACTAAAACATATTCTCTTATTTTAACTCACCCTACTCTGATTCTTAATTCTTTAACCTTAGTCTTTTTTCGTTTATTATAATAAACAATTTAACATGTCATAATTCCTTAATCATATTAGAACTGTGTATCCATTATAATTGTATTATTATAAACTGTTTTAGAACCAAACACTGTTTTCTGATTGCTTTACAAACTGCTCAATGTCGTCATTATAGTATAGTTTTACTTAGAAAATAAAAGTAACTTATCTCTATACTCACCACTCCATTGAATGGCATATCTTCCAAATACTTAACTTCTATTATGTTTTTGACCATGTGGCTCTATGATCTTAACTGAGATGTTTTAAAAATACTGGTCATGCAGTACCTTTATTTTTCTCAAATGTTATATTGAATTCCGATAAAATAAACATTATTCCAACTGCTTAACAAATCGCTGTTGAAAATAACGTTAAAGTATTTCTGTATACATATCTAAAAAGTTCGGTTAAAAAATATCATTCTGGTAATATTTCTGGGTAAGTTTGTCGGATTATAAGTTTCTCATATACACACAAAACATTTAAATAAGCATCAACTATCTTTTTATCCTTAAAATATTTATTAATTTTGATGTATGTCTTTATGAATCCAGAGTTCTTGAAATGCCATCGGAAGAGCTTGGTGATTCAGCTTACAGAAAAGTTGATATTGAGGCCTGGATGCCAGGAGATCAAATATACGGAGAGGTGAGTTAATAATTATATGAAATTTATGGAACATGAAACGATTACTTTTCAATGTTGTTAAAACGCCTAATATTCAATCAGTGAACAGTAAATCATATATTATAAAGGTGACAGAAATCCTCGGTTTTGAGTGAATTCAGTCGATTGATAATGGATAGTACGATTAAGTAAACGGAAATAACCTGAAAAAATGTGATTTATTTACTCAATACATTGCAAACAATCGGATTAGATATTCAGTAATTGGGGTATTTCATAAAAAATGGCATTAAATAAATAATTTGAGACAATGAGAAATATAAAACAATGGACTCACTAAAATGTGAATAAATCATTTCAACAGTAGTCTCAGGATCAAAATAAAATGACGAATATGACAGTAGGTTCATGATGGAGGCACATTGTTCTTCTTGGTGTGACATGTAGTGTCCAAGAGTTGATAAGAATGTATAATCTTTTAATACACGAACCCGATGGACTACTCAAGTGAAAGACTAAGAGAAAAGTTTATTGATCAAACTAAATCTAACGAATGTATACTCATCCACATAGATGCACATCTCCGTCCCTCAAAAATTAAGCCACCATTGGTGTATCTTATCCCCGTTTCTTGGCCACGTGCATCTATCATCTGACCGATTTCTCATTGATCCCATATATCATCCTTCCCACCTGGAAAATATGATTGGCTCCTCAGCTGAACGCGTTAGGACAGAGCCACATCAGTCCTATTATATAATTAGTTGTGGAAGAAGACAATTATCTCCTACGTGTTTTCTAAGACTATTCAGCTAGTTGCATTTAATTAATCTCTTTGAAACTTTGTTTTGTAGATTTGCTTTACACACGCTTTATTATCTGATATATATATATATATATATATATATATATATATATATATATATATATTCTTTAAGTAGTACTTTTTTCACAGGAATTACAGCGACGCAAGGTATCATTCGGGAACCATCGATTCTTTCTAAGTGGACATGTTAATGTATAAACAGTGTATCTGAAGTCATTTCTGGTGCCATGACAGATTGATTATAGTCATCTACAACTTGAGAAAATAAAACGCAAACAGAAAGCACAGAACAACAATAATTAGTATAAAAGGTCTATTGAGATGTGTGTACCATGTTGTTTTACGATTTACTGTTCGTGTTAGATATTTAAATCAGTTAACTTTACCAGGGATGGTGCAAATGTAGGTTATCTGCAGGTAGAGTTTAATGAATGGACTCAGTAATAATAACGATTTAACATTTAACGTTCCCATAATTTCACTGGTCGAATAGGATATACTTAAAAGTGTAATTACACTTCGGGCATTTTCAAAGGAGCAGTAAGCATCAATACAGTGAAGAAAGAATGGGAATGATTTTATTTCATCGGGAGATTGTGGCAAATTATTGTTCCAGAGCCTCAAAATTTACTGGTAAACCAATTGATATAAAGGGCAGATTTAGAATGTGTTCACCTCACGAATGATAGAGTTACGAATACTACAACCGTGCATTTCTGCATATTGAATTGCATCATTGGAGATAATAGTTTAGGTCACCGCTTTGATGCATGATCGAATTCAAGCTCATTGAATCTGGATTTATAGTTTAAAGTACGATCAGTCCGAAGAATGCGAAGTGTGAATTGCCTCTGAATGATGCTTTGCGTCGCTGTAATTCCTGTGAAAAAAGTACTACCTGCGCAATTTTTTGAACTATAACACCTTAAACAAGCTGTCATGTACCGGTCGTTTACGTTTAAAATTGATATATATATATATATATCAAGCTGACCATGGTTGTAAGTTGATGTGAGTTCTGTAATTTTTTTTCAGGATATATGTATTTATCGTCAAAGCCGTGATACGTATATTATACATACTACTGAGTAGTGGTCTAATAAATAAAAAAATGTCGCATCTCTCTACCATATTTTTAGTCTATCACTTATAAGCCAGTTTATACATGTTTATTCACATGACTTTATCTGTTATATCTTTTACAGATTTCTAGTTCATCAATCTGTCTCGATTATCAATCAAAACGTTTAAATATTCAATGGCAAACATCTAGTAACCAAAATGAATTCGCTTATACAGTAAGTACTTGTATTACATATATGATGTGCTTAGTTTATTTTACTTATTACGAATAATGTTCAATTAATTATGTAAAGTTAATAATATTCCATCTATAAACGTTTGAATTTGTGTAAGTATGGTAGTGAATTATATATTAATTTAATTTAAAGTCTTTAAAAAAAACTATAATACGATAATCATTATAGAATAATTATGATTTTGTCACAAATCTTGTGATGTTATCGAGTCGAATTTCAAGCACCTAGTTACAAATGATCAGTTGGTCTTCATGTTGTTTATTGAAGTAAATATTTGTAAAACTATTCAAAGATAGTTCCGATTGTCTGTAAACTTATGTTCAATTTCGAAAATCTATGTAGTATTAAATACTCAGACGTCATTAAAACAAAATACATATTTATTTACCATGTTGTAATAACAAAGTTTTAGTTTATTTAATCGGTTTTAAGCTATTGTTTGGGACCTTTTTCCAATCTCTGAATATAAGTTAACTAATAATATAGGTACTTTAATATGAGGCACACAGTAAGTATAAAGTCTAATAATGCAACCCGGTTGCCCAAACCGAAGTAGGTAGGGCGGGGCTTGAACCCGGAGCTTGACGGTTGAAAATCAAACACCTTAGCCACTGAGCCACCGCAACCCAATGTTTGAAAGCCATAGTGAATATTTCAACGATGAAAGTTATGAACATACAGTCCTTAAACTTGCATCCTGCCAAAAACTCATTTGTAGTATTAAATTCTGTTAATACAACCGTCTGTAAACACCAAAAGTATTATGCTTGAAGTTAAATGATTAACTTGCGATTTCATCAGTCTACACATCGTTTCAGTGGTAGGTTGATTCATTGATACAAAAAGTTGTCTTCTAATAAAGCATTTTTTATAACATCCTTGATCTTAACTGTCAATGTTTTTATTTGTTTTTTGGTATTTACAGTTAAACGGAACTGCCTGTGCAATCCCACGTATAATGAAAGCCCTAATAGAGACCCACCAGACTCAAGTACGTGAATTCACTAATTGTTAACTAAGCACAACAACACTTTTAGTCATTAGTAATATTGTGCACAATTTTTGTGTATTATTAATTTATACAACAACAACAACAAATATTGTTGGGTCAAATTTCATAAGACACTTTTTTTCGACCAAATCAAACAGAAACGATCAACCAGTGAGTTCCAATATGCATAACTCATTCTACCTATTTCATTTTTGGCAGTTGAGTAGTAGTATCATTATTCTTCGTACAAAAATTCTGAACCCGAGGTAAATACATAAACCTTTACTTCGTAAATAAGTTACATCAACTTTATTTAGAATTTGAATCTTACCAATACTTGTCCATCATATATCATATGGTTCAGGACTGATCTGGATTAATATCTTTCATTAAAATTCACATTGGACTGAACTCATCAGCTAAATAGGATGAATTGATCTGTCAATATTTTTTTAATTAACAAATCTAAGAGTTAATTTATTCGCTGATTTCATTTACACTAGAGAAATAAACTATTCCATTTGTCTTATTTTTAGGATAAGCATATTATCGTCCCACATGTTTTACTACCTTATATGAAAATGGGAAATCTTTATCCAGCATTTCAACTTAAACGTGTTCCCAGCCAGAAACTATGAAAACAATTTTTTAAATGTGTAATAATATTTTTATTTACTTATTTCTGTATAAAATTAATACTTTATGAATGTACATTATATGGTTCGTGTGAATGTTAAATTTGTTTTCCCAATAAAAGTACGTCAAATTGACTTGGTGCTTAAGCCACATTTTCTTGGAAACTGTCTTCATCGGTGTCTTCATCGTGAATTGTTGTTAATCGACCTTTACCCCTTGTTCGGCAAGCCTCAAATTCAGGCATTTTCTCTCCAAACGCTTCAAGCTCTTCATGAAGAGACATCATATTCTCTGCTAGATCATTCGACCATACTGAAATAGGCAATTTTTCTATTTCATCCAGTTCATCATACTTTTAAAAAACAACAGTGAATAATGATGTCATTATCTCACAAAACAACAGTATTCATAATTAAAACCTATGGTAATATAATTTTGGTGCGCCACTTATAAATAACGCGGGACTTAACACAAGTATATATGCACCAAAGTTACTGTACATCATAACAGCAAATAATACGAAGTTAACGGAGGAAACTGACAAAATAAATGGGCAGGAAATAGTACAATGTTTAACACTTGAAGAAAGAAAGTCTATATATTTTCATTATGAATTCTCACTTAGCTCCACAATGTTATATCTTAACCTATAGCTCATTTTAACTGGTCTCCGGAAATTAGTTCAATTTGAGGATAACACTCATCACAAATTGATATCGGCTAAAGAATCCCTGGTCAGTCTGTGTTGAAAACTATCTTTAAACCGTAATAGTCCTAGTTGTATTTTACAGTAGCACTTAATATGAGTTGTATTTGATATATGTTCATAACCATCACATACATAAGTACTCATCATAAAACATGGAAGTGTATTTACACAATGAGTATAGAATATAGAGAATTCAATTCATTACTTTTTGCATAGCTTAAAAATCTAACTTTTTTAATTACTGAAAATAAAGTGGGGACACTTACGCACCAATCTCCATAAGATGAGTACTTTTTAATTGTTCGGTCCCGAATAATCGATCTTTCGATTTTTTCTTCACTATCTAATGAAGCGCGCCATTCTGATAGCAGTTTCTTTAGCTTGTTGCTGATATCCACTTTTGTGCGTTCATCGACGCTAATCCATTTAGAGTCATATGTGTTTTTATCGATAGATGTAAGACACTTTTGTCCAGTTGTAAGCGCTTCTTCATAGTTCCCTAATAAAGCATGAACCTAAAAGCAAACAAGTATTAAGAAATAGGATTCAGTCAAAAACAATTATATTACTGATGTAATTTGAAATTTATATCAGTAATGATTTCACACGTAGAAACGTCTTGTCTGCTTTGTGTTAATTATAATTTCGTTGTGATTAGAAATCCGATGACGGCTTACTGATCGTAGCATATGTGATGGGATTTCTCAGGAGACAAACCATCATACTCCTTTTCCCGGATTCCAACCACTTGGTTTTCAACAGATGAATTTTCTTATATACAAATAACTAATAGGACTGATCTAAAAAGAACAAAAGCCGGATATCCAGAACCAAAGGTGTTCATTTCTTCAAACGATAGCACGTAAAAGATGTGCAAGCGACACCTGCAATAATGATTTTACATGCATTTTATAACCAATACTGCATTAAGCATACACATATTCGACAGACTAACTTTGGCTATACGGAACCAAGCCTTTATATAGTTTGGTTCAAGACTGACTGCTCGCTCACAGCATTTGATACATGCAGAAAGGTAATCGAATCGAGACTTCTTTGGATTGACAGTGCATGTTGTCCCAAATTTATACAGGCAGTGGGCTGCGTTCGATAGGCAAATAGCTAATAAATGACATGGGCTAGGTTTTGACAACTGATAATCTGGCATCGTTGGATCGGTGTAGTTACGGTCAGTCACACTGATGCTTCCCTCTAGGATTCTAATAGCTTTTTTGTAGCAATTGAATGCACGAACCAACAATCCAGTCTGAAATGTAGAAAATTGGCATTGAAACAGTCTTTAAACTTACAGCTCGATAATCTACGAGAACATATCCGACATTTTACTCAGGAATTTTACAAGAACCTTTGTCGTTTCAGCTTGGTCTACAGTACTTTTAGCTGAAACTGTCCTCCAAGAAGCTAGTGTAGTCAGATACGAATAATCCGAGTACTTTATAAAAGAAAAACGCAAAACGTATTTTCAACACAACCACTATATAAAATCAGAATTAAACACGATGCTACACAACGTTTACGAAGTACACCTAAGTTTGAAAAATAGGAATGAACAAATGTGTCAAAGCCTTAAGTAAATATAAATGCAAGAAGTACAATATATTAGCAACAACACTTATGAGAACAGTTACAACCTTCTTGTAATTTCAGTGTTATTCTTACATCTTGAAGTCAATGAGAGGTGGTTAAGAAACTCTGACGATTGCACAATGAATCTTAAACATTTACGTGATCACATATTTCCAACATAACCTAACTGAAATGCAAATCTATTCATCAGCAAAAAATTTTAATCTGGAGAATTTTGTGTGAGTTTGCAACAGAATCAGGCGTTTAAAACTTCAGAATGGGTTTTGTGGAGATTTTAGAAATTTCACAGATTGAAATCATGAGTCAGTTGAAGCTAGACCACCATTGAAAACCTGGAAGCACTGGAAGGCCGTTTCGTCCTGATATGGGACTCCTCAGCAGTGCGCATCCACGACCCCGCACCACACGGGGCTCGGACCCAGGACCTACAGGCTTCGCGCGCGAGCACTTAACCATTAGACCACTGAGCCGGCATCCAACGGTGTTAATGTCTAACTTCAACCAATCCACGAAGTTGCGCCACCGTACACCATTGTCTTCAGTTGACTCATGATTTCAATCTGTGAAATTTCTAAAATCTCCACAAAACCCATTCTGATAATAATAATCAACTGCTCACTAGTGACTGACTTCAAGGAAAACTCCCGAAGTTCTAGTGAGAAGCCGTTACCAGTGGAGTTCAACCAGATCTGTTGTGAGATAGGAACTCACTGAAGACAATGGTGTACGGTGGCGCAACCTAGATGACAGTTCACTCTAATTCAAGCGTCCGAATTAAGAGAACCTGGGTTTGAAACCACAATCAATGGGTAGCATTTAATAAATGGGGAATGCCAACTTGAACCAATGCACATACGTCCAGGTTCCACGTTGTGACGGTGCAGATAAATTCACCCGTAGAAAATACAAAAAATATTCCATACCCGAAAAATTCCTCATCTTGGCTACACAATGCACACTCTGAAACCTTGTGAAATATGAATTATAAAATTTCACGTAGATAAATGATTCAAAAACATGAGACGGTTCATATGTCAAATTGAAAAGTATTTTTGTCCATGAGGCAGTCAAGGCAAGGTCAGCAATGACAGAGAGAATCAAACTAACATATTAAAATATCTGTCGTGGAGTATGTTGAAAGTAGGAAGGTCCATCAGAGGTCACAATATAGCAAAGACTCTCATGTTCTTTTATCATAACTATACTATATCATATTACGAGCCAAGTCTAAGAATATATGCTAGATTATTCTGGAAACAAGTTACGTAAACTAACAGACATTAGGAAACAGATGACAACTAAAAATTAAATTCTCGAGTAGTGTTTCTCTATTGACTGTCCCTTTTTTACGTAAATGTGTTTAAATTCATCAATATATGTGTTGGCATAAGGGATGTAACAAAGATAGTTCAATTTCTCGACCACCGCCATATATAGTCTTTCGATTTTTAACATTTATAGATTCATTTTATGATTCTTGACCTCACTTTGTGTCACCACATGTAAGACTCATTTCTCGGATGTAAATTACGGTCGTGTATATTCATTTATTCCGTTTTATCAACAAACTATTCTTAATTAAATTCCTATGAAAAAGAATGACAAGAAACTGTAAGCTGTAAAACAACAAAGCTGATTATTTAAAGAGCTGTTTTGAAACAGAAAAAAGAGAATGAACTGTTAGCTATGGAAACAAAGGAGATTGAAGAGAGACTGAAGCTTCTTAAATCGACTCTCTATTCAGAATTAACCAAGACAAACAAACTCAAGTAATGTGATGACATAGTTTACATGCAATGATTAGTTCTTCTGTGCCGATTTGGAAAGGTAGTCGTCCAGCCTCTTCAACCGGAAAACAGAAAAGAGATGCACTAGTTGACGTATGAAATTTATTCAACCCGTTGTGTATACTTCGTTTTAGATCAGTGGACTTAAATTCAAACCTTTGAAGCACAGTCCATCTTCTGAAAGTAGCTTGATTTACTGATTTATGACTTAATAAGTCAAAACCTCAGATACATATGGTAGTTTAATCCGAAAAATAAATGAAGGAATGGAACTTACTCCCGTAAACCCTGTCAATGCTCATCAGTCTATGTGTGGACAATGTGAAGACAAAAACGCTGTTGTTGTACGTGTTATTTTTCTGACCCGTTCTTTTGAAGTTGTGCCAGGAATGCAGTGAACACTACTGCGCTAAATGTTTTGCAATGTTTCATTTGAAAGGAGCACTTAGACGTCACCATTCGTTGCCTGTTTCGGTATTACGGTCAATTATAATCATTGTTTAGACTTGTAGCTTGAGGTCTGAATTGCGTTCTTGTAAAGAAACTGATAGTATGAACAAAACACAAGGATTCAAAGAGTTAATTAGTAAAGTAAGTACTGCTTTAGTAAATTCCTATCTATATTTATGATTTTCTAATGGTTACTAATATTTCCAGTTTTAATCTGAAGCATAATCGCTAAAAACGCTATTTATAGTTTGAATATGGAATCATTAAAACTCGGTTATATTGAGGCCAAACCTTGAGTACTACTAAATGAAATAAAGTTTGACTTTTCTTATTTTCTGTATTTAATAAGTTTTAAACAGTTCGACAAATATTTGAATAACAGTCACTTAAAAAATATTCAGGTCAAGACTCATAAAGCACTTAACAGAGTGTCTTAGAATTGCTAGTCTTTAATGTTACATCCCTCAAATCTACGAAAGATCACTTACAACATAGGCAAGTTTCAAGCTACTGTCATATAAAGATGCTATCACTTGTTTGAGTTTTGGTTTCGATGCGAATATTTTTACACCAAGCTAACCTCTTTGTGTGGTTTCAATTTTAATATGTTTTAAATTGACCCTCAGTACAAGATACGAGCATCTACTTGTCGTGCATTAAAAAGGTTAAATAAAACTTGCACATATGAAGCAAAACACACAAAAGTAAACCAAATGTAGTGACATCGTAAGCAGCTTCGTTAGCGTAAAGGATGATATTCTTAAATTTGTAGTTTTATATCACCAATGGATGACCTTTGCTAGGAATCTTTTAAAAATCATAATACAATTAAAAAACAGCTTTCTGGTGCTTTTTTTCACTAGTTATTTGAGTACGGTCGGCCTCTGTTATAGGGGCAGATTTATTTACTTTAATACATAAATACATGATACAAAATTCTAATCCGTTAAACAAAAGTCTTTAGTTAACATTTGTAATGTGTAGAGAATTAAATATGCTCAACGAAACATTAACAGTGAAACGGGAATAAAGAACAGCATAAAATATCTTTCGGGTTTTAATTTCCAAATCTGCAGGTTATTTTGATCATAAGAACTAAACCATTCACACAAATAATTACTACATGAAGTTTGAATGTAAATTTTGAACTTTTGTTGCATAGATTCAAACCAGTTCATATGCGTGAAATCTACCGATTATGGGAAATTCAAATGAGAATTCTATTTATTTCCAATTAAACACGATACTAATTTATTTGAAGAGAAAACCTCACACACCATTATGCTTGATTATCTTACAGTCATAGCGCAGTCATGATCATAAAAATCGTTAAAAAGATATTTGTTGGGAGTTCTAAAAGACAACAAAATAGGTAATTTACTGCTGTTTTTAATAAATTTCAAGCAAATATCAGTTCCTAATGTACAACTTTGAGGTCCGCAAATATTCTTAAGGGTTTAATATAGCTTTCCTCGTGAAATGACGCTAGCTGTAAACCCCAATCCCAATACTTGAGGCTTTCATACTGCGCGGCACTGATAAGTCACAAACTACTAAAGAAATAACCATTGAGTACTACTAGTTTACAACAGTTTTCCAATGGAACCCAATTAACTTTTAGAACTACCTTTAAAGCATATATACAGATAGTCTTTAGGCAGATTATAGAAGTATTACTTTATTTAAATCAACCTTTTATTAAATTTTCATAGGGATGTCAAAGTTCCTTTAGTATTGCGACCAAATCAAATTCAGCTTTACAAACGGAAGCAATAAATGATCCCTATCAATATGATCCCCCTACTAAAACGCCACTAACAACAAAACAATCTTCGGCCGCAGTCAGTCATATAACCCCAACACTATGTAAAACATCTGCTCCAGTAGAAATATATTTCACGCCAAGTATAACTTACGCAGAAAAATTATTGCTTCGTTTGCATCGGAATTCTAAGCTTCAGCAATCAATAAGACAAGACAGCGTATCTGAAGGGACTTTCTTGCCAAATTCAAGTATTGGTGAGTTTCATGTTTTTATCAACTTTTCACCAGGAATAACGTGTAAAATATTGGTCTAAAAGTGACACAAATAATTGGAAAGTTAATGTGTTAAAAGATTCTTAACGTTGAACAATTTGACAAACATGGACCTGGAAAATACACTTGCGAATTAGTTACTACCGTACAACTTGGCAGTTTCAAGTATCACTGGATGTAACAATTGGTGTCAAAGGTCTCATTTGAAAATTTATGCAAACTGTTTACTTGAAAAAATGTACACTCTGAAGTCATAGCTCATACTTCTATCGGAGAATCTGAAGAAAGACGGCTAGTCTACATTGTGAGCTTTAGGTATTTATATAAACAACATGAAATCTTATTTCCTACGTGTGATTCTTCTCTTTTGAGACCACAGAACGTCTTAATGAAGTTATATTATGCACTTAACGTTCAACTTTAATTTTTCTCTTAATTCTAGTCAACAGAAACATAAATTATCGGCCGAATACTAGAAAACTGATTCAGCATATTCAAATTAATGTTCAATAATGTTTTAAAGTCACTGAGATTTTTACAAATGTTGACAGTTTAAACTACTTGGTCTTTAAAAATTTGTATTTTGGATTACAATTACATCCTCTTGAAACATGTTTTGCCGCAAAATATAATAGGATATTAGAAAAATAAAGTTCAGAAATCGGAGTACATATGGTTTCGTTTTTTAAGAAGGATGTCTATTATTGGGGTATAAATACGCCTAGGAAACAGACATTATGGAATCTTTCATGTTCCCATCTATAAAAGAGAATAAAGAGTCAGCTTGGTTGTTTGTGAATAAGTCAAAAAAATTAATCTCAAGAGCTAAATATCATTCCTTAATTTATAAACATGGTTTAACATTGAGGGCTAAAACATAATTTTTGTGTAGTTATTCTGTACAATAATTATTTTTTACGAAAATATTAACGTCTGTATGTATTCTCTTACTTTTTGTTTGCTTCATCGCCTTTCACATTTGTGTCATCAATTTACAATGGAATTGAAAAAAAGGACAAGAGAAAAAGCAGGAAGAAGTTATGGAGAATTTCACATTAAATAGGAATTCATTTGATGAATTACATAAATTGGCTACAACACAAATGCAATTGAGCAATAATAATCCACATGTTTTCTCGCATTCTAAATTAGACTCAGAAGAGCCTATTAATCAAATTGATAAAGTAAATTTAATATTTAATTTTCTTAATTTCATATTTTAAGTCTTCATTTAATTACCTACTTTTAATTTTATTTATTTATAACAGATAATGTATCCAATTATTCATGAATCGAATGAAAATTACTCAAGTATACCCTTTTTTGATGAATCATTGTGTAATTTGATTAAACAAAAAGAAAATACCGACCAAATTCACAATGGACAATGTTCACAGTGGGTATTACAATTTTTTGAGTATTTATTATAGAAATGTTGATTTTATTTAAATGGTGATAACCTCAGTAATCATTTCAACCTAATTAAATTATATCATTTCGTTACGATGTAGTATATTAGCTTTTAGAAAATGTAGATTACTGACAAATTACTTAGATTTGAATCCTGTCTTTCACTTAAATTCATTTCATACACATAGTTCCCTTTATCATTTTGAGAAGAGCAAGAACAATGATTCTAGAAGAATAGCATGAATTCATTTTATTTCGTAGGTTCTCGTCAGCTGCTTACAACCTGTGATATTTAAAAATCATAATTGCATAATGGATTTAAATTGCTTACAGAATATTGTAAATATATACCTAATGTGAAAGAATATTCTACAACATTAATTGTGACAACAGTTCAAAATGAGTTAGAAACAATTGATTACATAATGAATAAACATTGATAGGAATATAGTGATTAGAGTTCAGTTGAAAAATTAATAATTTGAAAGATAGTTGAAAAAATAAATTAGAACCAATGATGTAATAAATGCAACAGAAAAAAGAGGGGAAAAAAAGAAAAAAAATTTTTTTAAGGTTCAGTGAAGGAATATTTGTCACCAGGGTAAGGAAAGATTAACCACCGTCTCCTTTTGAATGCATAGGTCAGGTTTTTGTCGCCTGATGGCAATGGCTTCAGCAAACTTCAGAAGACCGGAGTTTGGCTGCTTACTAGTCACCCTAAAGGATTGTAAGGTATCTACCTGATGTCCTGTATCAAGGAGATGTTTGGTGATCGCACTGTTCAGAGTCTTTCTTTCCCTTGTTCTTAAATTCATGTAAAAAGTGTTGTTTTACTTGGGACTCGATAGCTGAATATAACTGCATCCTACTGTTGATATTTAGGCTGATACCAGAACCAAGTATTTGTCATCTTAAGCTTCAATGCGTTATTTACTGATCTGCTGTGTGTGGACTTCGGAATAGTAGATCGATCGGTCTTTCCAGAAACCTAGAACAACTCATATGGCCTTGACATAGTACTGGAGGCTACAATTTTAATTAACGTTGAAAAACATAACTTTGTGTTAGACATAAAATGAATTAATTATTTAGGAATATATATTAATTAAAAGGGCATATTGTGGTGTATTGCTTAAATATTCAATGATGTAAAATGACATATATATTTCTGGTTATGAAATCAAGTTTCATTTGGCATAAAGATCTTACGTAATCTATAATCTTATTCATATACAGTGGTTCAGCTTGAACTTATTCATATGATTTAAAAATAGAACAAACCGTACAAATAATTATTCAAAATATCTCATAAATTAAGTTAGGCCATTTCATTTTTAAGGCTAACCATGTTTTACTTCTATTTCTAATAATAACTGTATTTAATAGCAAAGTACATATCCTTTAATATTTTTTTTCAAGCTGAATTGAATAGAAATTAATAAAAACAATGAAGACAAAACACAACAATAAATAGTTTAGTAGAATGGTTTGATTTAGTTTATTCATTAGCACTTTTTACATAATCTGACTAATTACGTTAGTAGTCAGTTACTTTGAGCACTGTTTTTCTTATATCAGCTGAATGATCCATAGTAGTCATTAATGATGGTCAATCAGTTATCAGTAACTTAGGTCCTGATAATCATTCATGTTAACCACCGATTAAAAAAAAACTAACTTTGTGATCAAACAGATCAGATATTTCGATCGGATCTTTTTACGAATAAATGCATGTAAAATTTGTTATAGATATAAAGTAATACAGAAGATAACTGGTTCTATTGGAGTCATTCTTAAAATACATTTAATGTCCTAGATGACTAGATTTTTCCCAAAGCTTTTTAGTTGTAACTTATCACCACTCTCTTCTAGGTAATATATAGTACAATTTTATCAAAATAATGAATGTCAGCATCAGTAAAGTAAAACTTTTAAAAAATTTAATAATCTTTTCACTTAAATTTGTCTATTTATTCATTCAACTTTTCTTAGGACTAATGATGAAGATGATCTTATCAAAGGAATTCATGAGCATAATAAAATTATAGGTATGTAAAGTGTCAATAAAATTTAATATCTGTTTACGTAGTAACTATTGTGACTTTAAGCCCGGCACTGCTGAGGAGTCTCACAATAGAACGAAACGGCCGTCCAGTGCCTCGAGGTTTTCTATGGTGATCTAGCTTCAATTGACTCATGATCTCAACTATTGAAATCACTACAATATGTACAAAACCCCTTTTGATAATTTATTTATGAAAGTTATGAAATCGAAATGCAAGTTTAATTCTAAGCTCTATCAACTCTTACTTTCACTTTTTAAAAAATCATTTTTTGACCGGTCGACAGCATAATTTGTAAACTACACTTCAAGTATTGTCTTATTTATATCAATCGAAATTTATTATTCATGAAAATGTAATTCGCCTCAATCAGCTTTTTTGTTGTTCACTTTTATCTGCATTTTGTATTTATATTAATATGATTATTAATTAATTCTTTTCTTTCAACAAAGGTTCATTAAATAATAAACAAAATATATGGCACCCAGTGCAGTCATTAATTAATCCTGATTCTAATATAGTACATCAAATCAATAAAACAATTATACGAAACTTGAATTTGGTTTTAGATGAACAATCGCTGAACAATATCGACCTACAAGACAGGTTTTTGGACGATTCAAGAATAAAGTAAAATAATTCGCAAACATCAGCATAATTCAAAGTCAGCGGTATGTTGTGAACAAAATAGACAACTTTTATTTTCTTCTTATGTAAAAGAAAGCAGTTTATTCGGGTTTCATCAATAAACTGTTTTTTATTGATTTTACTTGATTTCTTATTTTTGACTCATTCATTTGATAAAAAAAATAAACGAATTAGTAAATTAAATGAACCACTATTTTGTCCAAGAAATTTTCAAACCTGGTCGACAGATACTTTATCATATGAAACATGTAGTTCTTCACTCTTATCTCCCCTTTAATTACACCCCATCTGTGGCCGTATAATAGTCTTACCCCGAATGTTTGCGTGAAATATCCTCATGCATTCTTAAAAGTCAGTCGCTCTAGTTAATTTGTCGTTCCTCAGCTCCGAGCATCTTATGAAAACCGTGAGTATGAACAAAATTTCCTAGTTCAGAAAATCAGCAATTGGCGGAAGGGCAATGGAGAAGCATAAAATACCACATAGAACTTGATACTCTCTTCAACATAGACAATTGATGACTATCATTTCGATGCATCATTTTACAGTCTTTTAGGTACTCATTGAAACTGAATTTCATGGAAAAAATATCACCATAAACTAAGGTTAACCTTTCATAAATTCCCCAAGAGCTTTTCCGAAGTTTCAACAAAACTTCAGCAACTCAATTTGAAATTGTTTGAATTATCCCGTTGTTAATATTTTGACTGAGATTTTATAAGACTTAGTTGGCATACGTGCACCCTAATTACACTGCCACAATGTACCTATTTCTCATAGGTTTTTATAAAATGGACGGACTGTGCTTAACAATAGAATTTAGAACGAGCATTTACTTGTATTTCAGATTCAGTAGCTAAGTGGATAACGTGATGTCGTTTTTAGAAAAAGGTGCTGGTTTCGAATCTCAAAATGATCATCGACTCTGAGATTCAGATACATCCACCTTATTAGTCTTAACTAAGATTAAATGAGTGTTTGAATCTCCACTGCTAGTCACAGTCCATGTGTTCAATGCAAACTTTGGAGCTTAGTCCTTTTAGTTATTAAATAATCATGTATATTATGGTAAATGGTTATTTTTATTAAACTATAGAATTAGTTTGTTTGTATCTTCAGCACTACTGCGTACCTTCTGAGAAAAGTTTAGGATCCGTAAAGAAAACCTTCAAACTTAACATCCTAATTATTTATTCGGTAGCCATTTCAGAGGCTTATAATTATTAAAACACATTAAAATCGAAAAGCGTACAGTTCTTTCAATTTTGGAATCTACAAATGTCATTTCTTAAAGTTGGGAAGTGGTTTATATCATTCATCTAAATAAACCACTAACTCTATGATAGGTATTACGATGTCATATAATTAACATAAGTCAGGAAACAAATATTTGAAAAAGTTTACAAATACCATAATCAAATCTATTCCCTATTAAATCAAGGTACGTATCTTCAAATGAAATGTAGTATATGGAGAGACATATGAAAGGTGTGAGACTTACTGACTTACACCTGTAACATCAAGCAGAAAAGCATAGGCTACACACCAGCATCCTCCAAAAGTAAAATAAAATTGCGTTGAATTATATATAACAATTTCTACTTTTTCATGTAATGATGATGGAAACCAGAAATTGAATGAAATAGAGTAAAGTGGAAGATGACAAAACCGTTAGGCTTAAGGCGTATTATGCATTTTTCAACTGTCAAGAACAATGATAATGCAGGGATACAGAACAAAAAAGTCACAACAGAGTAAACAAAAACAAATGAACAGAAGAATAAACAGCCAAACCATTGTATAAAAACAACATAAAAATTGAAACGAAAAAGAAAGAAGATAAAAGATAATTCGGTGGCGATTGAGTCTCGACAATTGGATATGTTCTCGCTCAACAAAAAGATCGTATTTAGACATAAGACCAACGGCCAGACCCCCTGGATTAATGAGAAGATAGAATGCGAGTGACGAGAGTTAGTGCTTAGTTCCGTGGTGAGATTTCAAAGTTTATTATTGTATCTCGGACTACGCTAGGACCACGTACCCAATGAGTCCTCACCGAGAGGCAAAACTAATGTAGTTGTTGTGATTAGCAATTTCGGAATACGCACGGTGAGGTTGTGACATAATAGCATTGCAGTGAACTATGACAGGAGTGAGTGTGAAACTTAAAGGTATACGTGACTACTTTAGTGCTCGGTGGGAGTTGCAGTGTGAGGTTACTGGTGGATCGGGAGTTGGGTTAGACTCAGTCGGACCCATATTTGATTATTGCAGTGTCAATCGGTGTGATGACTTCTCATGCTTGCTACAAGGGAGTTACCAACCAGATCGGTCGGTGAAGTCTTTCTCAACATCTAATGCTTTAGAATAAAGTGGACGCTTTTTGCAACATGTCCCCGTTTCGTATCTTATCGAGACAGGAATTTTCATTGTGCTCAAAACAATGTGGTCTTTTAATCGCAGCTATTGTTTTGTTAGTACTTTGTAATCTTCTTCAATAAGGACTGATTTTCGTAACACATAACGACAGACATTGATCGTGTGTGGTTAAATCTACGAATAACTCATTCAAGCACTGGTGCTGCCGAAAACTTTTGTATTTGTATTTAATGGAAGAGAATTTGTGCGAAATCTATGCCTTAAGATCTTGAAGTTAGTACTCGGGTATTTTAAGGATAGAGACAATATTGAATAACGCTCACAAAACTCGTGTTTCAAATATTCGTACCCGACCACATTGGCTGCTTGTGGATCGAATCAGGTGGAAGTCTTGGAAATAAAACGTCCGAGGTAAGTTTGATGGTGTATGAATTAAGTCCCGATATAATTTTGGTCACAGAAACTTGGCTCGCTGTAAATATAGACTGTTCTCCCATCATTGCAGGTTACATCTGTATTAGAAATAATAGATGCAGTGGAGGAGGCATAATATTATACGTTAGAGACCACTTCCGTATACAACCAGTCATGTCGGAGGAGCATGTTAGTGGTACATGTGAGGTAGCATGTTGCAAAGATACGGGTTATTGACTATAGGAGGAATATACCGTAGTCCGTGTTGTCTGGCTGATGACTTTATCTTTAGACACATTTGTTCATGGAGTAAGGCAGAATGTTGTCTCATTATTGGAGACTTCAACGCACTGCATATCAACTGGATAGAGCTTACAGCTTCTATCAACCATTATTCAGTGTGCACTTGCACAATATATCGCAAATCCGACATACGTTGACTTGGAACATGACCCGTCATTGTTAGACTTTGCCCTCACACACCAGTGTGAGGATGTCATCCACATCCAGAATCCTCCCCTATTAGTGAATAGTGGTCACGTTGTACTCTACTTCGAGTTTGGAGCACATGGTATACAATTTGTGTCTGCTCCACCCCGTTCTAATATCTGGTGAGCCAATATCTCGGCAATCAGGGACTGTACTATGTCGACTGACTGACTGGTAGGTCGACGTGGATGGATCGATCGAAGACGAATGGCATAGGTTTAAGGATACAATCGAGTCCGTAACATCACCGTTTATCCCATGGTTATCACGTAAGCTATTACATTGCACACGATGGATTAATAAGGAAACCCGGAAGTTGTTGAAGCGAAGGAAACACTTCTGGGACTTATTCTTGTCAACAGGACAAGCACCACTTAAGTGCGAATATCGAAAAATCCGGAATATATGCAAAAAGACTATAGCTAAATCCTGTGCTACTTAGGAAAGACAGTTGGCATATCGTAGCCGTACTTGCTTGAAACGATTGTTTTCGTATATTAAACGGCGAACAAATTGTAGTGATGGTATTCCCCCATTACTGTTACACGAAAATTCAGATTTACTAGTTTGATCGAGTCAGGCAAAAGCTGAGACTTCCTTTAACTACTTTAGCGAAGTCTACACTATGTGTATTTCTTCAAATACTAGTCACAGTCACACCGAGATACCAGCAATTGGATCTGGACGTATAACTGCGGAAACTGTTCTTCCATTTATAACTAACCTCAGACCTTGTAAGATACCGGGCCCTGACGGGTTACATTTATGACTGCTGTCATCTCTTGCGGGCATTATTTCAATCCGCTTGCGACGCTCTTCAACATGTCCCTTTCACTCGCCCAACTCCCTAGAGATTGGAAAGACGCTGTAGTCGGTCCTATATTTAAGGATGGTCAGAGGCGAATCGTATCTAACTACCGGCCTGTCAGTCTAACTAGCATAGTCGTTAATTTACTTGAAAAGATGATTCGGGTTAGGTTTTTAGTCACGTAGTTTCACACAGTCTCTTAACTCCCGAGCAATATGGGTTTCGTAACAAGCGTTCATTCTTCGCTAACTTACTCATTGCGAGAGAGGATCGGACAGCAGCCCTAGATAACGGTCTGTCTGTCGATGTGATATTCATAGATTATAGCAAAGCATTTGACAAGGTTTCACACTTATATCTTATACAGCTCTCCAGCTTCGGAGTGGAGAGGAAACTTCTTATGTGGATGCAGACAGAGTGAGGGTCAATAGAACGCTGTCCGAATGGAAGCCGGTCAAAAGTGGTGTACTTCAAAGCACCATCTTAGTCCCTTAACTTTTCCTTCTCCACATTAATGAATTACTGCTGTTGCTTAAGTCGTCGACATTATTGTTTGCGGATGATGTAAAACTCTGGAGAACAATGAGAAGTGAGGCTGACCATTTGGATCTCCAAGCTGGCTTAGATGAATTAGTTGGATGGGCTAGAGTTTGGGGCTTAGAAGTTAATTCTAAGAAGAGAGTGTTCATGCACATCGGACATGGTAATATTTACCATTATACAATTGATGGTAAACCACTTTCAAGCGTTCAAGAACATAAAGACTTAGGTGTAATAATAAGTCGTGACTTGAGAACAACTACGCATTGCAACGCAACATCTGTCAAAAATTTTCGTGCGTTATGGTCACTTCGCCGAGCATTCAAATGCTTTGACGAGGAAATATTTCGAATTTTCTATCCCACCTATGTAAGACCACACTTAGTGTACTGTATTCAAGCAGTTAGCTCATGTCTGTTAAAGGATACTAACTCACTTGAGCATGTTCAGTGCATGGAAACAAAATTAGTGAAGGGTCTTTCT